CGTCCGTGTCCTCAGCGGGAACTTTCAGTATAAGTTTTGCCAATTCCTCCCCTCTTCTCCAATGGGGACAGTTGGCTACCTCCGGGCACATAGGTGAAGATTCGCGTCTACCTCTAACTAGGCGATCTCAGTCGCTACATGATCATTTCTATCAAAGAGGGTGGTGCGGATAACGCAGACGCTATCAGCAGAATACGTATAGAACTGCTGGAGCTGGACTTTGTCTTTCCCACCTATCGCATGAAAAAAGACTACAGATACCAGGTCTCGATCGCTAAGGAGCTGTATTTCAACACCTGTTGCCCCAGGGTAGTTCAGAAGTCGTTGAACGATGACGTTGGCACTCTCGCGCTCCTACACAATGCCCTGATCCCCAGGAAGATGATTCTCTACTTCACCGACTTGAGGCTCGGAGATGCACCAGGACTTGCCCCAGGTGCCGACTTCAGTAACCGATTGGCTATGATCCACGCCACCTTAAGCCAGCTCCGCATTATTGTGAACAAGCAGAACTCGTTGATCACCCCCTGATGTTCTCGTGGCAGTGCAGCGCGGGCGAAGCTAACAAAACAGGAGCAACTTACTTCTACGACCCCGATAAAATTTCCTACCCGAGAGGCTACAACTTGGTCCAAGAGTTCTTCGGAAAGACGTACGGCACGGAAGTGCCCATAACTGCCGAGGACTACTGCAACCACTGGTTCATGATCCCGATCAATCTCAATCTGCACCATGTCATAGACAACGCAAAAGCGCGAGGCAATCTGGCAATCGATTATTAGTTCAGGGCAGTGACGGACAGTCCTATTGCGCTCCCCTCCGACGCTACCACGTCAATCAAAATGAACCTTCTGTGCCTCGATCAGTATATGTACACAATGTCGAAAGAGAAAGCATCAACTGTAGTGTCGTCTGAGTTATTAAAAATTTGAAGTGTGGAGTTTTTGTCATTATTGTAGCTGTAAGCAACATGGAAGGTGGTGATCTGAAAACGCGCAACCGCCGTTATCGCGGGGTGACCTCGCGACGACAAAACGCCAATATGGCGGGTTTCTCCCCCTCCTACGCATGTTAGGCCTGGGGACCGCTGTGTAGCCATCGGCGATGCAAAAATCGATGAGCGACCCGATCAAGTCACAACTGCTCATGCAGCGTGGAGGTTTTTCTTGGGTGTTGGCGGGGTTGAGCTTACTCCCCATGCTGATGGGAAATGGGGCGGGAGACCGTATCGCAAATCAAATGAGGGCGACCCCGCCTTAACGGCAAACCGCAACCATGATCCGCTGGGATTGGCTTTCCTCCCAGTCTGTTGGGAGCCGCCACCAGGATGACTCCTTACGCGAAGAATGCCGCTATCCCCATCGCCCTCAGTGCGCTCAGATTGCTGGAGGACAATGTCGTTGACAGTATCTTCGGCGCAGGTATTGTTAACGGCAACATGTCTCACCACTCCGACGACTAATGCATGGAATATGTGCCATCCCGCGAGCAGACGACGGGCGGTGCAAAAAGATCGAGGGCTGGAAAGACTCGCAAGACGACGGGAACAGTTCGAAGAACGCGCGCAGCGCCAAGGTCGACAACAAGACGGAAGACGGGGGCGTCGAAGCATGCAGCACCTAGAAGAACAGCAGGGACACGAGCAGCAGGGCACGGAAGACCACGGAGCGAACGACGAATAGCGGTTTGGATGAATTCAAGAGCATGCTCCTTGATGCTGCAAAGAGCACATGCAAGAAAGCAGGGAATCGCGCAAAATTGAGGGCTATTTCTAGGTTGAAATCGTCAGCCATAAGTTTGGAACCCAATATCCTTGCTTCAGCGCCCGCAGCAGCTTCACGTTTCCATCAGCCCATCAGAAACAGCATCTCCCAGGCCTTGCAAGCCGCGTCCTCGCCCCCGACAAGCGCCTACATCGGCCAGTTGTTCAACATTTAGAGCGGTGCATATCTTTCCGAAATGGATTTTCGGCTGTTATTCCCCGCCCCCGGGTCAGCCGTACCGACGCCATCACAGGCGCCTGCTCCTCCTGTTCTTTCAAATGTTATCGCGCGCGATACTAGCACTGGTGGCAGCAAATACCGCGCTATTCACGGGCTTCAATTTCCCAAAAAGAATGGTTTTACGAGCTTCTGCCTCACTCAACAAATGTGGGCAAAATGTGTTAATCTTGGGACAGAGCAATATGGGCAAGAGCTCATTCGTAAAACGGCGTCTTGCTCACGTTCGTCCAAAAAGGCTGTGCGTCAATTCGAAAACCTCCGCTGATTAATATATCCGAGCTAACACGGTCTTGAAGCATTATTCCGTCATGCCTGTATCGATCGAGGATACGAGTATAGAACCGGAGTCCTACGTCATCATCGACGACATCCGCGTCATGAATCGCGTCCACAGAGGAATATAAAACAATAGCAAACGTATTTGGAGTTTCTCGATCGTTTGTGTGCATATGCATCAGGGACGTAAGTCATCCTATTACAAAACGAATGTCAAAGTTTATTACAATTACTCGTGGACAAGACATATAACATGCTTTGATGGATACTACCAAAAATGGTGTTTTCCTATGTGTGCTGGGGCAATAGAGGGTACTCACATCACAATAATTGCACCCACTGAGAGCCATGAAGATTACATGAATAGAAAAGGTTTTCAAAGTATAATCATGCAAGCTTGTGTTGATTGTAATTATTTGTTTTGTGATGTTGTCATTGGATGGCCTGGTAGCGTTCATGACGCACGGGTTTTCTCAAATTCTGCTATTTACAAGCAAGGCAACGAATGTAAACTGTTCCCCATAGATCTTAAGAAAGAAATAAACGGAGAAGAATCATCCCCAGTCATTCTGGCGGATCCTGCGTACACACTGCTGCCGTGACGCTTAAAAGGTTATTCTCTTAAAGGTGTTATAACTAGAAAACAAAGAGTCTTCAACTATCGTATAAGCAAAGCGCGAATGACAGTCGAAAACACATTTGGCAAATGGAAAGGCCGCTTTATCAGATTTAGTAAGCGGGCCGATATAAATGTAAAGAATTTGGTGATTCTTGTATGATTTCAGAATGTATGCCTCTATGGCCATATCCAAGCTTTCCTTTGACTAAACAGAAAATGTTTATTACTTAGTCTTACACATTCTGCCTTTTTAAATAGTCGTTCCTTATCATTAAAATCAGATTTAGAAATACCTCAAGAGCATCTTGTAACCATTTAATTGCCACTAATCTACATAAACATTACTATGTGCGACTATTTGGTTATCCGAATTTTGTAATTTGATCTCGTATTTTTCACAAGTGTGTTTACCGTCTGAAAGGTGGATTAAAGAATTGTTAAAATAGACTAAGGCCTAATAAATCAATATGGCGTATGGGTCTTAAAACCGTAATATTTTTATTTGCAAAGCTTATAAGATTTCATTATTGCTGTTAAAGTACTCATGGTCCTATTTTTGGTGTTACAGTGCTTATGATCGCATTTATATACTATGTTATATTACGAGCCGTTAATTCAATCCGTATCAATTATTCTCTATCTCACAAACAATGGGAATTTTGATGAATATTAAGATTATTTTGTTTAAGCGTATGACCCCGTTTCTCTTTTCTACTGAATTAATCGCAAACATTATTTGTATTTCGTTTGGGGTTATAATATAAGAAAATGATGCTCTCTCCTGGCATAAAGTTCAGTTCTGTACACTATAATGAACAAACTACTTTGTTGGTGAGAAGAATGTATTTCCTTAAGTCTCTTAAATGGATTTTTAGTTTTTTTGTAAACCCAAGGTCGTAAGGGCAAAAACCATAACACATGTCAAACTTAATGCAATGAACTTAACGAAGTACTTGCCCCACTGTGCGTTAAACGTTCATGAGTCATAAAATGTTTGCAATCGGCGAAAAATCATGGCGGATATAGTAAATACTGATTATGTAGGATTGTAATGAGCTGAACATAAAAAATGGCGATAAATTTATACACATCTGAAAATCAACTTTTTTATTTTTATATGTAGTTGTATTTTAGGATCCAAGTTGAGATACTATCGTGTTTAAATAAATGTAAATGATAATAATAATAATACATATTATTAGTCTATGGCAATGACTACTATGAAATATTTGTTATGTGCGTAACCTCCGTGTTTGAAGGATAGTTGAATTCGTGCGCAATATAATTAAAATAAAAATGTTATTGAGAATTTAGATTGTAGCTAAGATTGTAACCAAAATATAAGCAACGCAACACAGTGATAATACATAATAGTGCTCAAGATGTAAAAGATATACCCAAAATGGTTTTTATAGTTTCAATTAAATGTACTGATGAAAATTGCGAGATTTCCAGAAAAGCCACTACTTCTTGGTGGAGTAAATTGGGCACCTCACCTTCGCCATGTCCAGTGGCATGTAAATTTGTGTTTTTACAAAACAGAGCACATATTTCCCGAAAGAAAGAAAAGTGTCAAAGAAACAGAAATTCTTTTGAAAAACAAGTTTGATCATGGTTATAATTCAAATGCTTTTCGTTGTTACGAAGGAAATTGTTTTTGTGACTTCACGAAAACAGGTCTTTATGATTTGCCTATTTTTATGCACTTTAAATATAAATCATTGGAGCCATATCCATGTATGACTGCTCTCACATACGCACTTTGTGCATATTTTCATTGCATTATTAACCAACTTAAATTGCTCAATCAGGTAAACAGCACAAAATTTTGTGCATCCCAAAGTCCTAGACCATTGAATACATCCACTTTTAATAATATTATTGAATTCAAAATGGCATATTAATGAAGTCATGTTGTGATTGTTCAATACCCTTGTTTAGATTCGGCCATCCGAACGGAAATTGGAAGCTCCGTTGCAGTAATTTTCGCCTACCTTTTTCGTTATTTTTACACATTCGACAGTTAAAAAAGCGCGTTTTTGTCATTTTAACACACTTTTTATGGTTTACGACGAGAACGTTCATTTGAAATTGGCTAAAACTTATAGTTAACCAGGTTTTAATATTATAAACACAAATACAGCACATGTTTGGTAAAATTAGATGACTACTGTACGATACATTATCCTGCATTACTATAATGAGTTCTACGTTTATTGTCTATCAATTTCAGTATACTTGTGGGAAAAAAACATCAAAAATTTTTTTTTAGTGCCAAGAAATGAGAATCACTTTTTCAGGCAGCAATACTGCAGCAGTATATGTAACCTTTCCACGGAACTTTTATTTTAGTAGTTGCCCACGAAGGAAATCGAGAGTTTTTTGTGGAAATGAGTTCACATGTTGTTTCATGACTTCTGAAACCTAAATAAAGCAGAAACAATAAGCATTTTTTATTAATAAAATAGTACAAAAGGGGTAAATGCGATGTGCAGCATGCACAAAATAGACAGACATTACAAAACTACGACACAAAAATTAAGAAAAGATCAAAACATCAAGGAGATCTGGGTTAAGGACGCAGTATAACGTCAACTGCTTTTGGTTTAATGTATACGGCATGGGAATTAAAAAACATAAATCAGAAATAATATTCTTCAAATTGATGATGATTATTCTTGATATTTTTCAAATTGCATAAGAATGATTTAGTGGTGATATAGCCATTAAATTTCAAAGCAACCATCGTTTAACACGCGCGCTAATCCTCTTTGTTCATCACTCGCTTAGAAAAGTTATCTTGCATAGTTAAATATACGATATGAAAAAATTTATTTCAAGTGAATATAGAATGAAAATTCTGTTTTATATCGCTATATACAAGAAATGCCGCAACTCTTTTTATGATCATCAATATCGTAATGTAATCCACAACAGCAATATTTTGTTTGAAGAGTAAGTCGGATCCATACAAACTATTGATACGGACTCGTGCAGTACAGAAGAACATAATTCTAACTGAACAAATAAGAGATAATATTGATATAAACCTTAGTCTTTATTTTACCCAAAGAAAAGAGTAAATGATGCCAGTAGAAAGAATGCACATAAAAGGGTTGTTTGTGAAACATAATTTGGCAAAAAGTATAATACCAATTTGAATCCATTGGTTGTTGTCGTCTTTGACTGGAACCCAATGATTTCCAATTCTCACTGGCCCCACTGGATATTTACCATCTCGACAAATAAAATAAGAAGGACATAATTCTTTTCCGTCTTTTTTACAAGTTGCTGCAGCAGAAGAGTAAGTCAAAGTTGGAATTCTTTTGACCACGTAATCTAAAATAAAATGTACATGAAAATGTATAGTAAAGTACTATTTAATTAATGGCTTAATTGTAGCCATGTTATTTTATATTTAACAATTACATTACAAGCTCGAGATTTTTATGAAGTGATAGTTGATGAGGGCGAGGTCTAAATGTTTTATCACTTCATAGAGATTGAGAGCAATTCATGTAATTGCTTTAGTAGAATCATACTTTAGAATATCTCATATAAACATACCAAAGTTTTCTGCAAGTACGTCCTTCGAAAATACATTTCGCTACATATTTCATGTATTTTAAAAAAGGAAAGCAAGTCAGGCATGCAAGGTTTTATCAACGTGCGTAGGGAACTGATTTGGTTATAAACATGTAAACATGCAAAGAAGTCCCAAGTAAGTTTTTCTTCGATAGTTATTTACGATTGAAGCAGTGCAGTTGTTAAAAGTGTTCGGATGAGGGAAGCCGTTTGAAGTATCTAGTTAAGATGAATATTATAAAAAAAAAGGTATTATATGGTGGTTTATTTTGGATGGAACATTACATTTACAATAAACCATAGCTTGGTCTGGTTGATATTGAAGTGTGAGCCCGTCAATTGATGCTCGTATAGCTTTAAGCCACGAAATTTCAAAGCACTTCTAATTTGTCTGCCAAACACACGTATAAAAAGCTACAGGTATTTATTTAGTTAGGCTTTTGACAATTCCGCGATAGGAGTTGTGAGCTTGTCTTAACTTGAAATTCATTTTTAAAGGAAAGAATGTGATAGTGCTCCTTATTATTTTTCATTTACATAGTGAAAGGGAACGACGCTCTCTGCAATACATATTTATTTCGTTTGATTGAAACCTTTTTTTACTTTAAATATTTTTAAGCCATATTTTGGGAAATTTTGGTTTTCTCTGGAATTGCCTTCTCTAACAAAGAATCACTCTCAGAAATCCGATAAAAACGCGTGACGGTTGTGTTGGCAGCCATGTTTTTTTCCATGCTCTCTATCTAGTCCTTCTCTACTCGCTATCTATTTAAAAATAGATAGCGAGTAGCTTAAGCAATCAAATTAAAGCCTCTTCAATATAATACTAGTATGATTCTACTTGTTATGATTTTTATTTTGAGAAAAATTCATAAGTTTTGTTGCAAAAGTTTATCACAGAATTTTAACCATCGCAAATATTAAAAAGTTCACTTACTATTTCAAATTCTTCCTCACATATTGTTATATTATTTTCTTAGAAATTGTGAAAAACACATTTTGAGCAGTACCTGTTTTATTTTTTTGAAGAACTTTAAGTATTTTTTGAAGTAACTTTGTTGTTTTCTTTTCGTTGCTTTTGGTATTTGACTGAAGTTTTAAAACGAGGCTTTGCATATTGAGTATAAGCGTTTGAAGTGTTAAAATTGGAGTTTGCAAGAGAAAGTTTTGGTCAGCTGGTGTTCTTTTCAATACCATTTGTTTGTCTTCATTTGCTGACAAATTCGCACTACAAAGTCATTAGCTAAGTCATTAGTACATCGCTAAAAAAGTAAAAATTTTAATTCTAATGTAATAATATACATTAGCTATGCTTCCGCACACAAAAATATGGTTAAGAGGTAAATTAAAACAAAAAGATCCTGTTTTTTCTTCGTAACATTGTCTTTATTAACAATAACAGAAAGACTTTCTTTCATCGCACTTGGCTCACTTTCGTTCCTTACTCTAAAATACACTGTTACAAAGTTACGTATTTTATCTTGGGTCTGCCACAAATTTTAAATTATACTTATTGAAATAGTAAAAAAATCTTTTTTTTCTAAATAAACATAAACATTTATAAAAATTATGAAAAGATTTAATTTATCGTTTTCCCAAGAAAGATACAGTTAATTTATGTTAAACACATGCTCTGAAGTTATATTTCTTCTTTCTCCTCTGCTGTCACAAATAAATTGGTAAACAAAATTTTCATAAAGTAATTGTTATAAATTTTAATATTCCCTATACTGTTTTTTCCATTTTGAATGAATAGCATAAACTTTAGAATAGAGTGCAAAATACGCTGCTAAAACCTGTCAGCCGGTTTCAATAATAAATAGGAAAATACAATGACCATCACAATGCTCTCTATCTAGTCCTTCTCTACTCGCTATCTATTTAAAAATAGATAGCGAGTAGCTTAAAGTGGTACTATGACGAAAACTGAACGTTAAAAAATCATCGATTTTAGCATTCAATAGTTTAAACACATATCAATTATTGCTTTCGTAAAATTTAAGCAAAAATAATAGTATAACGAGGGAGTTATGAACATTTGAAATGTCTAATTTTCATGTCCGCCATTAAAATCGGCCATTTTGAATATTTGCAATCAGCAAAGGTCTGTGACGTCATAGTCTTAACACGGCAAGAAGCGCACATTGGAAAGTATACAAATTAATACATAAATAGAGCAAAAAAATGTCAAATTCATCGAGATCTAGCTCGCTTTCTGAGTCTTCGATCGAGACAAACGCATCGATTTCTTCATCGGAATTCATGACGGCAAATTCGGACGAATCTAATTCGGAAATTTTGCCATTTGCCGATAATATTGAACCGCTTGCTTCGCCCGATGAAATTGCTGAGTACGAAGCTGCAGTCGCAGAAGAACGGCGGGTTGAAGACATGCTGCAAGATCGTTTTGATGCCCGTGTTGATGTTACTTCATGGTAAGATGTCATTCTTAGTGTTTTACTTTGATCTGAATCGTCTGCCGTTAGCTATGATAACTTTATGGAAACATACAATTTGGCCAATATTAAAGGTGTGAATGTGGCCATTGTTCGTTGGATCTTGTTGTCAACCCTCAAGAGTGCCGATGCTGCATGGAAATAGAGCAATGCCGTGGTAAAATGTATCAGTTCGAAATCGATGAAAGGAAATGCATTTTGGATCACCCTGCCTTTAACGAAGTTTGCCTGAACGAATTTGTTCTTCAAGCAGCTTCGTTAGGTTTAAAGACCAAAGGTCATCGCATGATACAGACACTTCATTTTGTATTTTCTTTAAAACCTTAGTATAAATGTATATTATATATTGAAAGTTTGCCTGGATGTATTATTGGTTCTCTTAAATTGTGAAAATTTATCATCTGCAATATGTGTAAATATATAATAATTGCAACTTGTGCTAACCTGACGTCGCTCTCTTGACGTTGTTGGTGTCTGTGATTTCTTCCAAATAGTAGGTACGGCACCAGGTTTGAGCCGTATAGTCATACCACCCAAATGGAATAAACGCTCAAAACAATCATCCGAGAAGTGATTCGAACAAATCATAAATCGAATTTCGCGCGAACTTGGATTAAAGTTGACGCGCTTCGTCTGAACAAATTTAACTCAAATTCTTCTCAAAGACTCGTCGTTTTGGCTTTTATGTAATGAAATGCCTGTAATTCTATCAGACTTGTTACTGCAATCTTGCACGACACAGCGTGTTGAAGGCATGTTAAAAAAATTGAGTTATACAACCTTTTAAATCTCTATTTGTATATAGTGTTATATTGTAAACAGCCGCGAGTTAAGACTATGACGTCACAAGCACCTTCCTTCTTGAAAATTCAAATATGGCGCATTTTAATGGCGGCTCTTAAAGTTCAAGTTTTATCGCTACGTAACTCGAGCAGCATGAAATACATTGCGCTAAAATTTCGCCAGAAGAGATTTTTTTACATACACTATTAATCTATGAAAAAAGACGAGAGGCAAAATTTTCGTCATTGTACCACTTTAAGCAATCAAATTAAAGCCTCTTCAATATAATATTAGAGACAAGAGAAAATCAGCTAAATTACATCGTTAAATATTTCTTCCTACTCAGCCATAAAACACCATTAAATTTTACTTACGCAAAACTGTTCCCAGCACATAGAGTGAGTAAAACAAAGACAGCAGAAGACCAACCCATTTCCACGTAGCTATAAATGTAACTGGACTACTTGAAATCTGAAATATATAACGTAAATCTATAATTCTTCTTGATTGCTTTATCTTTTTTTTCAATCACCAAGCTGTCTAAGGTTTTTCGAAAAATATAAGCATAGTTTAATTCAAGCATGAGCCGTGCAAATAAATAGCCGTGCAAATAAATAAACGAGAAAAACTTTAAAGTAGATCAACATCTTTAAACATGCTTTTCAATGATCTCTATTATATACACTGCATAAGATCAAGTTATATACACTGTGTTCGAACGCATAGTCATCGGACAACGATAAAGAAAGTCAATTTTATGGCACGGCGATCGCATGAAAGAAGTTTGTGTTGTTTCAAGTTGTCGTCTAATGTTGAATCTTTGTACGACAAACTTGCTTTTAGAATTTGATGAAGAGAAAATTCTGGTTTATACCTTACTTTCGTTCACAAGGTTCTATTACTTTCAACTTGCTATCTTTAAGTTTTGCAATGATGTATAGAGCCGTTTTCCACTTCATCATCTTTTATATATATGAGCCACAAAAGCTACAGGAATCCTGGGATGTGCCTTCAGGTATATTTCATTCAGTTCTGTCATCATTAATTCTTCTATTCATATAAGAACGTGATTGAATTACGTAAATTAAGTTCTTGTTGTTTGTTTTTTTTGCTAATTTTGGAAATGACAGGAATGACCTTGATGTGAATGAAAAAAATGTTCCTTGAGCTAAACTGCAGGGATTGCTTGAATAAATAATAAATTGTTCACATTATGTAAACTATGACGCCATAACCGTACGCTGAATTGTATAATATATAAAACAGATAACACAAACGTGGACTTAATTAACTTTTAGTCAATTTTCAACACTTTTTTGTACTATAAGTAGCATGCTTAAATTACATTTGGAATTTAAATTCTGAAAACATGCAGCTTTCAACAAGATTTGGACGTGTAGGGAGAAAATGTCATGACGTACTATTTTTTACAAATCAACAAGCTGTAGCAGTTGCAGATCGAGCGTACGTTAAAACAAATTTACAACAGCACATTTTGGAGTACACTTTTTTACATTTCCAAGCATCTTAGATGCAATTCCAGTGGTAAACAGTGTAATCTTTAGAAATTCGAAACCAATATAGTGTTTTTCTGATAATATTTCAAATTTCAAATTAAAGAGCTATACTTTATTTTGACGAACGCTGGATCCTCATTGAGCTGCAATAATAGGGTTAGAGCTGCAAGACCCAGTCCATCTATATTCTCTTTATAAATTATTTGTGGTAAAAATATTGTATAGTCAATGAAGTTTCTGTCTCTTATAAACATCTGTAAAGATAATTTTTTTGTTGATCAGTACGTTAAAGTAAATTTATTCTTCCTGAGCTATCTGAATGCTTGCTGATAAAATTTGAATGCTGTATTAAACTATTTCTGTGGAGTGTTAAATTGGCAGGAGTAAAATCATAATGGCAAATGAATATTTCTAACGCTTTTCTTTTCAGGAAAAAGTGCCGTCATTATTTGCAATTAACAGAAAGTTTAAAAGGTTGTGTCGTATACTATCGTTTCTTTTATTTCAAAAAAATCGCCAATTTTAATTGTTTAATCGTTTCAGATTTCAAACCTGCACCAAGTTTCGTGACCCAGCAGGAGAGTAATTTACATCATATGTCAATCAACACTTTCTCATAATGTAAATATAATACCTGAATAAGCACATTTTGCTTTTAAGACGTATATAAGTTATGTCAATTCTCTGGTCGAACGTGTTATAGCACATATGTAAAGCATTATGTTATAAATAGAATTGTAAATGAATGATCTAATTTACTCATCATGTTCTCAAATTCTGCAATAAAACTTATTTCCTCCAGCAAAATACTTCTCCTATTTACGATTACAAAAATATCAAAACTGATATTCCTAGCACAAACTTCTTTCTAAAATTTCATTCTTGTAAAGACATGCTGCAAACATCCGTCATATACAGATGCTGAAATTACTTACGAAATGAAAAAAACTCATAACGTTAGATTTTTTTACATTGTTTTCGGGTGATAATGCATGTATTTTTATTTTGTTTTATTATTTGGTTATAATAAGCCATGTTTGCGAAATCAATTTGTTGTGACTCAGTTATTTAACTCACACAGCTAAAATGCCAACTCTTGTTCAGATGTTGACACATACTGCCAGACAGGAATATTTGCAAACTGCTCATAATGGAAAAAACCTTTCACCAATTCTTGAACATGCTGTATCGGTTATAGATTTTTTGTTGAAAACAACCAACTAAACTAAAATGCTGTAGTATGGGTTGCGTGATCTTGGCTCCTTGGTTGTTTTGCACTTTTCGACATATTGTAAACAATAAAGATAATAGGAGTATTTAGTAAAGGCTAGTTGCCATAGCTTTGGAAATGCCATTTTTGATTCTGTTAATAAAGTTTACAATCCAATAGATACTAAACAAGTTAATATTAAAACCATCATAAAAGAACTGCTTTTTGAAATTGTGTATTTAAGATTTGCACTCATAATGAAATTTTTATCCAACAAATTGTCATTGACTATATGTCCTTGAAAATTCTGTTTTTAAAAACATAAATCTCTTTAAGTAATTTTAGAAAGCCAGAAAACGTGATTTCCAATTCGTGCAAAGATATGGACTAGAATGAAATCATCTTAAGTATTCGTTAATCTGTTTAAATTTCATACGTGCGCCAAGCCACATGACTATGCAGCAGGAGAGTAATTCATTTCACATAAGAGTATTTCATATCAATAAACAGTTTCTATTGATGCTATTTCAATTAGTTGAATCAGCACAAATCGTAGTTAAAAAGCACATGAATTATCTCGTTTTTTTTATGCTTACGTACTTGCACACATGTAAAAATCTATGACTCACGAGAAGGTACTTTTGAAATAGCTTGCGAACGTTAATGAAAAAGTTAAAAAGCAATAAGAGCATATGTGGTTAAAATATGGCTGATGTTGTTGACGCTAACAAAGTTTGGGAAATTTGGCTTAAGTGCGCACAAATATTAGGAATCCAAATTGCTTATTATTGCGCGTTTTTCATGTTTAAATGCCATCTTTTAAAAACCTTCGTCAATTATTCATGTTAGCCTTAACTTAAGCTCCAATTTTTGTAATAATTCATGCACATAATAATAACAAAAAACGAAATAAAAAACGGGATATAGATGCCCAGCGTTCGCGTACGCTTTATCCAAAATGAGCAAGAAACAGGGTATATGCGTGAATTGAAACGACGTTCGTGCAAACAGACGAATAAAAGTGTTATATGACCCTTAAAGATGTATTTTGTTCGAACTTGAATGTTAGTCCAAAACTAACTCTTGCATGTAGTCCATTCTATCTCTTAAAACGTCTGTCTGATGTTTTTATTGTAACAATGGCTGAACTTATTTTGATAATTGATAGGTTTGCAACATTTGCTTCTCTCAAAATTTTGCGCGTGTAAGTATATAGAACGTACAAATTGCCTGAAGGCAAGGGCTCTACATTTTTTCATTAGAAAACCTTTGGAACTTTTAATTCTTCTATTAAATATTAAAAAAATTTTCGTGCAATTTGAAGTCACAAGGTTATGAAAAAAAATTCGAAAAATTTTATAAGAGGTAAAATGTAAATGTATATTTGAAAAAGCTGTTACACAAGCATCTTATATCGGCTTATCTTTTTCTTTACGACGGATAGGGTGGAAAGTTCAAGGTCATAACGTTACCTCCCTGGAGCTGTGAAGATCGAAACAAACTTGATTTAATTTCTAAGTTAAATTGATATATATTTTACTAAACTTTTGTTTCAGTTCACAGTTTTTAGTACTACTTAAGAGAAATTAAATATCAGGACATAATCTATTCTACTTTGTCACTTGAACTAAGTAGTTAGGAATAATACCTGTTAATGCAGATAAGCTACGCTACAACCTGCGTGTGAAGTGATAGCTAATGGCACCGACAGAGTAATTAAGAAGAAGCTACGATGACAGGTATATTATTAGATTAAATAATTTTCGCAGCTTATTTCTTTAAATCATCTTTAGTATTCGTTAATCGGTTTATATTTCAAACGTGCGCCAAGCCACATGACTATGCAGCAGGAGAGTAATTCATATCACATAAGAGTATTTCATATCAATAAACAGTTTCTATTGATGTTATTTCACTTAGCTGAATCAGCACAAATCGTAGTTAAAAAGAACATGAATTATCTCGTTTTTTTATGCTTACGTACTTGCACACATGTAAAAATCTATGACTCACGAGAAGGTACTTTTAAAATAGCTTGCGAACGTTAATGAAAAAGTTAAAAAGCAATAAGAGCATATGTGGTTAAAATATGGCTGATGTTGTTGACGCTAACAAAGTTTGGGAAATTTGGCTTAAGTGCGCACAAATATTAGGAATCCAAATTGCTTATTATTGCGCGTTGTTCACGCTAACAAAGTTTGGGAAAAATACGTATTTTTGGGAAAAGTACGTAGTTTGGCAAAATACGTAATTGCGAATAAACTTCTGAAATTTTGTCTTGCAAAAGCATTCAAATTGAATTACCTCCCTGGAGCTGTGAAGATCGAAACAAACTTGATTTAATGTCTAAGTTAAATTAATATATATTTTACTAGCCGTTTGTTTCAGTTCACAGTTTTTAGTACTACTCAAGAGAAATTAAATATCAGGACATAATCTATTCTACTTTGTCACTTGAAATAAGTAGTTAGGAATAATACCTGTTAATGCAGATAAGCTACGCTACAACCTGCGTGTGAAGTCATAGCTAATGCACCGACAGAGTAATTAAGAAGAAGCTACGATGACAGGTATATTATTAGATTAAATAATTTTCCCAGCTTATTTTTTTTGTTTGACATAATTTCATAAAAGCCAGATGGTTTTTTAATTACATGAACAACAACATTGTAGTCATAGCAAATGTCACAACAACAGTGAAGTCATAGCTAATGCACCGACAGAGTAATTAAGAAGAAGCTACGATGACAGGTATATTATTAGATTAAATAATTTTCCCAGCTTATTTTTTTTGTTTGACATAATTTCATAACAGCCAGATGGTTTTTTAATTACATGAACAACAACATTGTTATTGTCACGATGTAAAAACTACGCTAAAGAAACTAAAATTTATAATAAAATATCTGATCAATTATTTCTGAGCCTTTAACACTTTCATACTAATGTAGTAGTAGTAGTAGTAGTAGTTTCGTATGGTCACACCTCCATGTGTGTCTCATCAAGCCAGCTTGTGAAGTCATCATCCGCCTTATGCACTGTTGCGTAGCCGCCTTCAATGCGTGTGAACTGACATTGCAGGATGATATGGTCCATATTCTGGTTGGTGGCGTTACATGATGGGCAAGTTGGCGAGTCTTTGTAGCCCCATCGGTATAGGTTGTTAGCTGTTCTGCCCTGTTTTGATCTTATTCGGTTACAAGCGCTCCATTGTTTACGAGTTAACTTCTTGAAACCAGGAAGAGGGACATTTGTGGGATCTTTAATTAGATCAGCACCCTTTGGTTTATTTTCGGACCATTGTTTTCCACAAATTATAACAAGCATATACTATACCTCCACCCCTCCCCATTTTTGATCTGTCAAAGGTCAATGAAGATTTGCTCTCAAAAAAATATTTATTTTTCATCACTTTTTTAAAGATCGAATGATTCGAATTTGCCGGAATGGAAAATTTATATAAGTAGCTATCTAAGAAAAAATACTTCCCCTTTCACTTATTATTCAAGTCACTGTCCTATATCAACCAAAACGTCAAATTTGGATATCTTAAAGAAATACGAGATCACGCTTAATACTTTCTATCATTACTCGAGAGAGCAAATGCTTGGCGCCTTCAAACTCTAAGTGTGGACATTGTACTTTGTCGAAAAAGGCAATCGAGTGTTTTTGTTGCCTCGAAAAAGCGCTTGAATACGATGAGTGTCAGGCTTTGCTAGCCAAAACAGAAACTCCAGGAGAGTATTGCTTGACAACACACCAAGAATTTAGGGACAATATGCTGTCAGAAAGTGTGTTTAAGATAGACGTGTGTCGGCATCTTGAAGAAAACTGGCCCCTGTCTGATGAGGAGCTGGCGAGAATACACAAGCTGTCTCGATTAGTCGCATATCGAAGATGTTCTAGGTGGATTTTTCAAATTTTAGGGAATAAACATCGAAGACCATTTCCTGCTTGTGTTTATGCTAGCATACGAAAACGCTTCGCGTCACCACACGGACTTTATACACATTTTAAATACGCATATTATCATGAAAGACCGTAAATTTAAAGTCCTAGACAGACGCTCTTTGATGTTCTTTGTTATGATCTGCAATTGCGATGCCATGTCATTGTCGAAGGGTTGTCACGAACTGCGCAAAAGCAAAATGAATGAGTGACCACCCAAAACTTGTATTCATTCATAAGTTATAAAGTTAATTGAAAAGTGTACTTGTACATTGTGCACGCAAACACGCACGTAAAACATTACGAATAAACGCAACTCTACAGTCACGAACAAAATATAGCGGCTTATAGCTAATCACCTATATAAAGCTAAATAATCTCGCAAAGACTCTTATGTATACAAATAATAAATAAAACGTATAACTCTTTGTTGGTCACAGGTTTGTAATATGGGAAAATAAGATATTTCTATTGCACGAAATGCTCAGTGTACAAAAGACGCATATTTTTGTCTGGGCTTACACTTGGTATGTCGCGAAAGCCTAGTAGTAAGATCTGCTAAAATAAACGTTTCTACGTCTTATAACGACTAAATATTGGAAAAGTATATAAGCGTGATAAAGTACACAACTTTTGTTAATCTTAACAACCGCCGACTGTTGTTTTTATATTTTAAAATTCCAGTGAACAAATGTGCTATATATTATTATAATACTATTATTTTATATTGTGTCATTCAGTTGATACCAGCCAATGACGTCAGTAATGTATTCCAGCATAATTTAGCATAAGGTTTTTTCCAAAATGGCGGATAAAGATTCAACTTTATGTCAAATTTTCTCAACAGCAAAATTCAAAAGAACACGAAAACACGAAAAGTAATCCGGTATCAAACGAATCCGGTATCGTGTGAAAAAGGCTTCATCCTGACATTCGTCTTCACATTCACCAAAGGATTCACCACAACATTCGAAATTAGCATAAAGTGTGAAGTTGACACCAGATTTATTTTGAAACATAATGAAATGATCAGTTTCAGAACCAAAATAAAAAAACCGTATTTTTTGCTAAAAAAAAACAAAAAATACACAAACGAGTTTGGTGCTGTTGTAAAGACCAAGTTATTTAGACAAGGATTATACTATTTTTATTTTGGTCGAAAGTCTTGGAGAAAATCTACAGCCTTTTAAAGACTACTTCCGCTTTTGTCTCTTTACGTTAATTAATTGCGCGATGTTTACAATGCATAAATGTTGACATCTAAAAAGGCCTAATTTTCAAGAAGTAAACACGCTGGAAAATACTTGTGTTTGGTAACATCCGAAAGTACGTTTTCTGAGGATTTCAAATATATCTTTACTTTTGTGGCTCAAATTCGTGTAGCGAATCTACAGCCATGCAAAGTCGACTGTGAAGGTACCACAGGATTCAAGATGGTATGCTTTTTATACAGTAAACACACTACAATTTACTTGTGGTTCATATCATCTGAAAGAGCGTGTTCCAAGGATTTTAGATATGTCTTTATTATCCTGGCATAAATTCCAGGAGCGAATCTAAAGCTTGAGAAAGGTAGAGCATTTTTGCGTTAATTAATATGCATGTTGTCATGTAGCATTATTTCACTAACGTCTAAATATTCCGGATTTTAAACTAGTAAACACTCTGAAATATAGTTGTGTTTATTATCGTCTTAAATATCTCGTTTTGAGGATTACAAATATGGTTTTATTATCCTGGCCCAAATTTGTGGAGCAATACTACAGCTTGAGAAAGGTAGAGCATTTGTGCGTTAAAGGACATCGGACGTATATTTTAAGTTAGGCTTAATTAACGGGAAATATCGCATAAACTTATAATATACCTTTGTTAGTTCAACCAAAGTTTTTGTCTTCATGTAACAAAGGTTTTTCTGACTCCAATTTCAAAGTTCCGCGGCCATTTTGATTTGTTTTGAATATAATGAGATATGCAGATTTATGCAATGACGTCACAACTGGGAGGCATATCTGGTAACACAATATACTTTTATATGTGTTTTGATGAAGTCAGTGTGAATTATTCTTAAAAAAACGTTTTTTCACACTTTTTTTACATTATGTACATGCAATATACATAATGAAATAAAAAAAGAAAAATAAGTTATATATTTATATATTCAGTATACATATTGTATGGTTGTATCGGAGCTTGTTCGTGTCCATGTTCGTGCTCGTGGTCTTGTTCGTACTCGTAGGAAATCGTAGACGATGAAAAACATCAACAAATATGACAGCTAAAGCTTCATGAAACATATTCGCCAAAGTCTGAGAGATGATTACAAATAGAAGAAAGTTATAAGAATTTTGTGACAGTTTCATTATTCCACCCACGCCAGGGGTTACAGACCGAAGCTGTGATCATAACAAATCACTGCGGTGAACATCTCTTTTGTTTGCGACGGAAAACCAGTAGTTAAATAAAACGGTGTGTGTGAAATAGCGTCAGTGGTATGGAGTGTTTGGCATGTCAAACTGGAGATGTGAGCGTCATGAGTCTAGCCGAGCATTTCAAAGTTCGGCGGCATAATCGCGCGTGGTTGGCTGGCAAAGCTATGAAAGTCGTTGGCCGCCTGTGTGACGACAGCGGCGGGGATGTGGAATGGCGAAAATTAGAAAAGGAAAAGCCAACCCGTAAAAAACGGCAAAGACGAGGACAAAAAAATGCTTTGTCTCACGCCTTAGGTGTTCAGTCTGTACTAGAGATTTCTTTTCAATATTTCTTAATCAAATCTCGTGCTCGGTTATCAAGGGCATAGTAACGGATTAACTTACATTTGTAAAGGTTCTTAACATTTTTGATCGTTCATCAAAATATACAAGACACGATTCTAATATATATGTTTTTAAAAGGGGAAAAATTAATTATTATTGGTAATTTAAATATGTTATGCTAAAAAATGTTTAAATTGAATTTTTAATCACTTTTAATTAAAAAACTTTAAAACCCAAAAAATGGAACGTCAATTGTGAAATAAAGGATAAAAAATTTGATAATCTATTTTTTTTTATCAAAAATTAAAAAGGTTTACAGGTCATATGTGTCTTGTACAACGTAAAAAAAGTAAATGTAACTTTTTTAAATAGAAATCAGATCTTATTCCAGCACTTATATCAATACATTAGTAAGCCCCTGACTATCTTTGCTATAAATTTTTTTGGACAAAAAGATCTCTGAACTATACAAATGTTAAAATCCGTTTGCTCAAGTTGAGTTTCCTTTGCTCATTTTAATGTTAATCAAGATTGTTCTTGTTTTTAGAAAAGACTTTTTGGAATATTTTTGGGAAGCTGATTAAAAAACATAAGATCTAAAATAGAGGATTGGCAGTGATGGGATTCGAACCCATGCCATTTTCATGACTGGTGCCTTAAACCAGCGCCTTAGACCACTCGGCCACACTACCTTACTGTCAACTTCGAATTACTTGTGAAAAGAATTGCCTAATTATTTAAATTGAAGCAAATCAACTTATTTTACTTTCAACTATATTACAAAAGGCAAATGTTATTTCTGTGGATTTAAAATTTTACAATATAAATATATGATACGTGTCAAACCATGAACAGAAAATACAAAATACTTGCGATAATTTGAAATGCGCAAAGCTTTTACTTTCAAATATTGTTTGTCGTCGGAATTATAGACTTTTCAGGATGGGATTAGAAAAATGTAACAATAAACAGAGCATTCTATACATGTATTTTAAGTTTACTACCATAAAACAAGTGTCTGTAGATGCAATCAACGACTACGTTTACACTACGCCGGAAAACGGCTGCTCTAAAATTTTGACTGGGTTTACCCTGATACGTGAAAAGTCCGCTGCAGTTTTGCGTTGTTTACACATAATGTCTCTAGCTGTCAAATTTAGTTAGTTGTTTGTGAAAGATGTCGCATTTTCTTATTTGTATATTGCTAGATGTTTATTCCTCTAGCGATAGGTTATGAAAAACAATGATGTTTAATAATTACAACGGAATCAGTCACAACTATGCGCTACAACACGGGACGAATTAAAGGAAAAGGTATCTAAATTGTAGCGAAATATTAATGATTAGCTATTTACACGACAAAAATTCTTCTGATATAGTATATAAACTGTTGTCCTGGCAGTTAATAATCGTAAAAATTAATTAAAATATGATGTTCTTAATATATAAAAATTAAGAATTGACGTACTAATTATTTTATATTCTTTCCACATTTGCGTACATTTTTTAAAAATTTCTTAAATATATTCCAAACAATGAGACTTGTGGGTAGCGATGGGATTCGAACCCATGCCACTTTCATGACTGGTGCTTAAAACCAGCGCCTTACACCACTCGGCCACGCTACCCGTATCATGTCAGCGATATCTTGTGAAAAAAAACAAAACAAATAAAAGCATTTTAAAGACAATCAATTACTTAACAAGGTTAAAAAATATTTTTTTTATCATATGGCAATCATTATTTCCGGCCAAATGGCGGGCTTTTATTACCTTAGAAATATTATTTCCAGTCTATTATTTTCCGTATTGGAGCACGGTCTAAAATACGTAAATTTACTTCAAATGTAAACATACATGTAAAGTCATCATTAGAGTAAAACGAAGCAAAAAAGCATTTATGAATGTCAGTAGAATCAAAAGAACCAAGAAACAGTTTAACTATCTTGATGATATAATTTGAGACGATTTAGTTTTTACTGACGAAAACTAGAAAAGAAAAAGCAAACCCATTTAAAACAGTAAGGACAAGGATAAAAAAATGCTCTGTTTTTCACCTTAGGTGTTCAGTCTGGTACTATAGATTTCTTTTCAATATTTCTTAATTAAAATCTCGTGCTCGGTTATCAAGGGCATAGTAACAGATTAACTTACATTTGTAAAGGTTCTTAACATTTTTGATCGTTCATCAAAATATACAAGACACGATTCTAATATATATGTTTTTAAAAGGGGAAAAATTAATTATTATTGTTAATTTAAATATGTTATGCTAAAAAACGCTTAAATTGAATTTTTAATCACTTTTAATTAAAAAACTTTATAACCCAAAAAATGGAACGTCAATTGTGAAATAAACGATGAAAAATTTGATAATCTATTTTTTTTATCAAAAATTAAAAAGGTTTACAGGTCATATGTGTCTTGTACAACGTAAAAAAAGTAAATGTAACTTTTTTAAATAGAAATCAGATCTTATTCCAGCACTTATATCAATACATTAGTAAGCCCCTGACTATCTTTGCTATAAATTTTTTTGGACAAAAAAGATCTCTGAACTATACAAATGTTAAAATCCGTTTGCTCAAGTTGAGTTTCCTTTGCTCATTTTAATGTTAATCAAGATTGTTCTTGTTTTTAGAAAAGACTTTTTGGAATATTTTTGGGAAGCTGATTAAAAAACATAAGATCTAAATTAGAGGATTGGCAGTGATGGGATTCGAACCCATGCCATTTTCATGACTGGTGCCTAAAACCAGCGCCTTAGACCACTCGGCCACACTACCTTACTGTCAACTTCGAATTACTTCTGAAAAGAATTGCCTAATTATTTAAATTTAAGCAAATCAACTTATTTTACTTTCAACTATAATACGAAAGGCAAATGTTATTTCTGTGGATTTAAATTTTACAATATAAATATATGATACGTGTCAAACCATGAACAGAAAATACAAAATACCTGCGATCATTTGAAATGCGCAAAGCTTTTACTTTCAAATATTGTTTGTCGTCGGAAGTATAGACTTTTCAGGATGGGATTAGAAAAATGTAACAATAAACAGAGCATTCTATACATGTATTTTAAGTTTACTACCATAAAACAAGTGTCTGTAGATGCAATCAACGACTACGTTTACACTACGCCGGAAAACGGCTGCTCTAAAATTTTGACTGGGTTTACCCTGATACGTGAAAAGTCCGCTGCAGTTTTGCGTTGTTTACACATAATGTCTCTAGCTGTCAAATTTAGTTAGTTGTTTGTGAAAGATGTCGCATTTTCTTATTTGTATATTGCTAGATGTTTATTCCTCTAGCGATAGGTTATGAAAAACAATGATGTTTAATAATTACAACGTAATCAGTCACAACTATGCGCTACAACACGGGACGAATTAAAGGAAAAGGTATCTAAATTGTAGCGAAATATTAATGGTTAGCTATTTACACGACAAAAATTCTTCTGATATAGCATATAAACTGTTGTCCTGGCAGTTAATAATCGTAAAAATTAATTAAAATATGATGTTCTTAATATATAAAAATTAAGAATTGACGTACTAATTATTTTATGTTTCTTTCCGCATTTGCGTACATTTTTTAAAAATTTCTTAAATATATTCCAAACAATGAGACTTGTGGGTAGCGATGGGATCCGAACCCATGCCACTTTCATGACTGGTGCTTTAAACCAGTGCCTTAGACCACTCGGCCACGCTACCCATATCATGCCTACAATAACTTGTAGCAAAAAACAAAACAAATAAAAGCATTTTACTAACAATCAATCACTTAACAAGGTTAAAAAATATCTAATTTATCATATGGTAAACATCATTTCCGGCAAAACGGCGGGCTTTTATTACCTTAGAAATATTATTTCCAGTCTATTATTTTCCGTATTGGGGCACGGTCTAAAACGCGTAAATTTACTTCAGATGTAAACATACATGTAAAGTCATCATAAAAGAAAGACGAAACAAAAAACCACTTATTAATGTCAGCCGAAGCAAAAGAACTAAAAAACAGGTTAACTATCCAGATGATATAATTTGAAACGATTTAGTTTTTACTGACGAAAACTAGAAAAGGAAAAATCAACCCGTACAAAACGGCATAGACGAGGATAAATAAAATGCTTTGTTTCTCACCTTAGGTGTTCAGTCTGTACTAAAGATTTCTTTTCAATATTTCTTTGTTAAAATCTCGTGCTCGGTTATCAAGGGCATAGTAACGGATTAACTTACATTGGTAAAGGTTCTTAACATTTTTGATCGTTAATCAAAATATACAAGACACGATTCTAATATATATGTTTTTAAAAGGGGAAAAATTAGTTATTATTGTTAATTTAAATATGTTATGCTAAAAAACGCTCAAATTGAATTTTTAATCACTTTTAATTAAAAAACTTTATAACCCAAAAAATGGAACGTCAATTGTGAAATAAACGATGAAAAATTTGATAATCTATTTTTTTTATCAAAAATTAAAAAGGTTTACAGGTCATATGTGTCTTGTACAACGTAAAAAAATTAAATGTAACTTTTTTAAATAGAAATCAGATCTTTTTCCAACACTTATATCAATACATTAGTAAGCCCCTGAATTTCTTTGTTATAAATTTTTTTGGACAAAAAGATCTCTGAACTATACAAATGTTAAAATCCGTTTGCTCAAGTTGAGTTTCCTTTGCTCATTTTAATGTTAATCAAGATTGTTCTTGTTTTTAGAAAAGACTTTTTGGAATATTTTTGGGAAGCTGATTAAAAAACATAAGATCTAAATTAGAGGATTGGCAGTGATGGGATTCGAACCCATGCCATTTTCATGACTGGTGCCTTAAACCAGCGCCTTAGACCACTCGGCCACACTACCTTACTGTCAACTGCGATTTATTTGGAAAAGAATTGCCTAATTATTTAAATTTATGCAAATCAACTTATTTTAATTTCAACTATTTTACAAAAGGCAAATGTTATTTCTGTGGATTTAAAATTTTCCAATATAAATATATGATACGTGTCAAACCATGAACGGAAAATACAAAATACTTGCGATCATTTGAAATGCGCAAAGCTTTCACTTTCAAATATTGTTTGTCGTCGGAATTATAGACTTTTCAGGATGGGATTAGAAAAATGTAACAATAAACAGAGCATTCTATACAAGTATTTTAAGTTTACTACCATAAAACAAGTGTCTGTAGATGCAATCAACGACTACGTTTACACTACGCCGGAAAACGACTGCTCTAAAATTTTGACTGGGTTTACCCTGATACGTGAAAAGTCCGCTGCAGTTTTGCCGTTGTTTACACATATGTCTCTAGCTGTCAAATTTAGTTAGTTGTTTGTGAAAGATGTTGCATTTTCTTATTTGTATATTGCTAGATATTTATTCCTCTCGCGATAGGTTATGAAAAACAATGATGTTTAATAATTACAACGGAATCAGTCACAACTATGCGCCACAACACGGGACGAAATAAAGGAAAAGGTATCTAAATTGTAGCGAAATATTAATGGTTAGCTGTTTACACGACAAAAATTCTTCTGATATAGCATATAAACTTTTGTCCTTTCAGTTAACAATCGTAAAATTAATTAAAATATGATGTTCTTAATATACAAAAATTAAGAATTGACGTACTAATTATTTCATGTTCATTTCCACATTTGCGTAAATTTTTAAAAATTTGTTAAATAAATTCCAAACAATAAGACGTGCTGGTAGCGATGGGATTCGAACCCATGCCAGCGCCTTAGACCAGGGGTCTCCAAACTTTACAGCCAGAGGGCCACATGAACTTTCATCCAGCATGTTGAGGGCCGACGAACCGTATATCGCTGGTCAAAGAGCGAATATTTTAATAAAACGAAGTACTTTTTTAAATAGACATGTTTCGACATCTCATGATGCCATCCTCAGTATAAGTGAAATAATAAATGATATAAGGCTTATATAAAAGTAATATGATACATAAATGACAACAATAAAAAGGAACAGAAGATACATTTGCGACTCTTCGCGCCATTTATCCACCAGAATCAAGGAACATACCACAACAGACAAAAACTCTCATATCTACCGACACCTTGTTAAATCTCACTCATGTAAAACCAACTATTCACCCCCTTGCCTCAAAATCATCGACACTACCGACACCTCATTCTCCCTTAAAATTAAAAGAAGCACTCCACATCAACAAAACTAAACCTGACCTCAATGTTCAAGTTTTTAAATTCAATACAATGTTTAGTTTATAATACGCTCGGACGCTCCCCCTTAATTTTATCTTAATTCCTTTTTATTGTTGTAATTTATGTATCATATTACTTTTATATAAACCTTGTATCATTTATTATTTCACTTATACTGAAGATGGCATCATGAGATGTCGAAACATATCTATTTTAAAAAAACTTGTCACGTATATTAAATGCGCAAAACGAAGCACATCACACAAGCTTCATTAGCTAAGAAAATATTTATTCAAAATTTAAAGGTTAAATTTCAACAAAGTGTAATATCATAACAAAATCACAATTAGTCTCTTCAGTTTTCTCAATGTGAGTGGTGAAATTGGCTTCTTAAGTGTCTCTGCAGGCCGGATTGAGAGTCCCAAC